AGAGAGAGAGAGAGAGAGAGAGAGAGAGAGAGAGAGAGAGAGAGAGAGAGAGACTGACCTCCCGCTGCTCCACCACAACTTCATCCTCCTCCCGCTCCTCCTGTTCCTTCTCCAACTCCTCCTGCTCCTCCTCCCTCTCCTTCTCCCGCTCACCCTCCTGCTGCTCGTCCCGTTCCTCCCGTTCCTACACGCGTTCGTTAACTCCCCCTCCCCGCTTCCTGCCGCTCCTTCCCCTGCCACTCCTCCCGCTCCTCCTCCTCCTCCTCCCGCTCCTCCTCCCGCTCCTCCTCTCCCTCCTCCGCCCGCTCCTCCTTCCGCTCCTTCTCCCGCTCCTTCTCCGGCTCCTTTTCCAGCTCCTTCTCCCGCACCTCCTCCTCCTCCTCCTCCCGGTCCTCCTTCTGGGCTTTCCCCCGAGCCGCCTTTTTTCTTCTTTTTCCCCAATCAAACAATCAATCAATCGATTGGTTGATTGATTGATTGATTCTCCCTCTCCCGCTCCTCCCACTCCTCCTCCCTCTCCTTCTCCCCCTTCCCCTCCTCCTGCTCCTCCTCCCGCTGCTTCTCCTGCTTTTCCCCCCCTTCCTGCTCCCGCTCGTTCTCCCGCTCCTCCTCCCGCTCCTCCCGCTTCTCCTCCTCCTCTTGTACCGCCTCCCACTCCTACTCCTATCCTCCCGCAACATGACAAAGGTCCTCCTACGAAAAAAAAAGAAAGAAGGGTCGCCACGTGGCTAGCCACACACACACACACACACACACACACACACACACACACACACACAGAGAGAGAGAGAGAGAGAGAGACTGACCTCCCGCTGCTGCTCCACCACAACTTCATCCTCCTCCCGTTCCTTCCTCCTGCTCCTCCTCCTCGTGCTGCTTCTCCTGCTCTGGCCCCCGTTCCTCCCCCCCTTCCTCCTCCTGCTCCTCCCGCTCCCCCTCCCGCTCCTACCCCTTCTCCTCCTCCTGTACCTCCTCCCGCTCCTACTCCTGCTCGTCGCCGATAGCCGTCATCGTAGTAGTCAAAACTCTTTCTCTCTCTCTCTCTCTCTCTCTCTCTCTCTCTCTCTCTCTCTCTCTCTCTCTCTCTCTCTCTCTCTCGCTCTCTCCCTTTCTCCACATCCATTTTCATTGTCGTCCTCCCTCCGCTTCCTCCCTTCATCCTCCCTCCTCCACGTGGATGGCGTGTCTTCCACTAACCTGAAAGAGCCTCCCTCCTGTTCCTCCCTCGTCCTGCTCCCTTCTTCACCTTGCTCCTCGTTTTCCCTCATCCTCCCCCTTCATGATCGGCTTCCTGACTGTCACCGGGACCATCTCCATCCCCCTCGAGTCGTCAGCCCCGCACATGTGCATGTGTGTGTCGGGTGTGCCCCTCCCTCGCTCCATCACTTCGCCACCATCCAACATGTGCATGTGTGTGTCGGGTGTGCCCCTCCCACGCTCCATCACTTCGCCACCATCCGACCGTGGCAAGTGTGAAAGGTGAACTGCTCCTTGTCCTGCTCCTCCTCCCGCTTCTCCTCCCGCTTCTCCTCCTCCTCCTAGCGCTCCTCCTCTTGCTTCTCCTCCCCCTCATCCTCCCCCTCTGTCCTCCCCCTCGTCCCGCTTTTCCCGGTCCTTCTCCCGTTCCTTCTCCCGCACCTCATCCTGCTTCTCGTCCGCCCCTCGCAGAGTGGAGCTGCGCGGAGCCCGATTCGCACTGGCCTGCCGCAGGACAACAAATCCAGCAATTCCCTGGGCCCGACAGCGACTTTTCCTCCGGCCTGTTTCCTTGGCCCGACGTGACGCGCGACACCCGACGACGACTTTTCCTCCGGCCTGTTTCCCTGGCCCAACATCACATGCGGCACCGTTTTTGGCGCGGGCCTCGCCCCTGCACCGGTTCCCCTTACCCGCTTTTAGTAGTATAGAGGAGAGATTATTTGGTAGACTAGATGTACCCTTCTGGCGGTTTAGCCAATCAGCCAATTAGAAGAAAAAAAGGTGAAGGGTAAATTAAGAATATAATATTGATGGTAACCCGAACAAACTGAACGTAACCCTAAGTTGGGGCGGTCCATCCCTATGTCTTTAATAACATAAAGAGCAGAGATTTAGTATAAAATTGTTTATTCAATATGGCTAAGACAGGATTGGATACCTCCCTAAGTTGGGCGGTTTGATTGTCTACTTGGCAGAAAGAAGGAACTTGTAAACTAACATGTTGAATGTTCTTGATGTTACGGAGGCTGGGCGTACCCCTAAGTTGGGGAGGTTCAGTCATACATTGTATGCGTTGTTTAGGCAGGCTAGGTGTACCCCTAAGTTGGGGCGGCCTAGTCCTACGCCATATGTAATTGTTTGGGTGGGATAGATGTACCCCTAAGTTGGTGCGGTCTAGTCACATGCCTCATGTCGTTGCCTGGACATATACTAGATGTACCCCTAAGTTGGGGCGGTCTAGCCATCTGTCGTACGACATTTGCCTAGGCTGACTAGGCTTATCCCTAAGTTGGGGCAATCTAGCCATATGCCTTTTGTGAATGTCTAAGCAGAGGCTGGACGTACCCCTAAGTGGGCCGGTTTAGTTGTATGCTTTATGTTTACAATTGGACCTGCAGTAGAGGGGAAGGACGATGACAAAACATTTTGCGAAACACCCCAGCCATCAGTTGGATCCCATCTTTGCAATGTTTCCCTACCAACGTTGTAAAATGCCCCGACAGTTGCTAAGTTTTCGTGCCACACACAGAGACAAAAAACAAAAAAAAAGAAGTGTATATTCCCATGTTGCAGCGGTAGATTCAATCGTTTTTGCTCATCCTATCGATAAAACCACTCTCTCTCTCTCTCTCTCTCTCTCTCTCTCTCTCTCTCTCTCACACACACACACACACACACACACACACACACACT